CCTGTCCACTGGTGGCGGAAGACTTGAAGAATGTTTATCGCAGTTTTTACATCCGGAAGAAGGTGATGTTTTTAGATGCATTTACAGTAGCAGGTCAAAATTTGACATGACAATAATGCTCATTTAATCTGTGTACCTGTGTTATCTGTGTAATCAGGCGAGTGAGCTGAGTGAGGCTCTGGGCATCCCGTTATCCTGTATACTGCCGGTGAAGAACTACAGTGAGGAGCTGGACCTGGACCAGGACACTGACACTTTACTGTTTGGTGCTGTGCAGCACATGCTGAACTTTGCAGACAGCTTTTTTGAGAACCAGGCTGAAATTCAGGAAGGGAATGATCAGATGGAGCTTTACAGATCCAGTGATATTTCCCGCCCTGATTTTCGAGAACAGAAAGAACATCAGATTATTTGAAATCCAAAACATATAAGTGTCCCAAACCATTTAAATTCAGACCTTTTCAAAATAATCAATTAATTAGGTTCTCCAAGAGGGTTGCAACAAATTATCTTAAAGTAAAACCCTTGTATTGTAGGCAAACTGAAACTATATTTGTTTCATGAGTGAAACAGTAAAAACATTTATAAATATTCACTGTTCATTTCATGTCTGCAAAGATTTGCCAGCACGTTGCATGCTGCTTTCTCTTAGCTAAAAGCCACTGGGTCAAAGTGCTATATTTTTGTGCTCTGAAGCTAAAATCATTGAGCTCAATTAAAGTCATTAACAGATGCCACGTGATCCAATCATGGGTCCTGATCAGCTTTGAGGTAGATCCTTAAGTCAAGCTTGAGTTTCAGATCCTTAGAAGCAGAGTCTGTTGTGTGCACGTCTTTTATTTTAATTAACTTGGATATTCTGAAAATATTAATTTGCAAATATATTCATTCTTGTCCTGCTCTTATTGTGTAAAAAAATAAAAATAAAGGACAACAGAGAAAGTCAATATGCTTTATCATATAATAAAGTTTGTTACATATAGCAAATTTGACTCTAGGTCCATTTTTACTGATGATATAGTTCCACGAATTGCTTGCTTGCTTTATATGCATGGCTGCAGTCTTACAGTAGTAGGAGAGTTACATAGACGTTCCCCCTTCATTCAGCCACTAGATGTCAGTCATAATTACATAATCACATCTGTAAAGACGTTGTTATGAAAAGGTGAGGCTCTTATTACACAATTTTATCTCATAGTCCAACACGGGAGCTAGTTGGATCATTTCACTTGAACAGATGCATGTATTTGTTTATGCACAATGCCAGTTATGTCAGAATGACAAGTGTACTTTTGTCCCGTAAAGTCATCACTCACTGTAACCATACAAACCCACGAGGCCACATGACAAGAAAATATGTTGGTTTTCCTTTTAGCCAATTGCAAAACTCGCCTAGTTTCGGTACCGCCCACCTTCCAGCTTCACTATAAAACTGTGACGCAACGTTGCCAACAACAAACGCAGAAGAGACTGGCAAAACTTTGGTACGCCGGCAGTTGTCACGCATTTACGCAGTGGGATCGGTTTTTAAGTTGAAATCATGATTCCCGAAGAAAGCTTTGCTTCCATCGAGAACAAGTAAGATTTCTTGCTTCAGTTCTATTTTTATGTTGGTTCAGCATGTGCATGTGCGTGATCATGTGCTGGAAGGGTATGTTGATCGTCCTTTGACCCGTCCGTTGTGTGGATTGCTTAGGCTGATGTAATTAAAGTGCTTTTTTGAAAGCTTTGATTTGAGACTAGAACGCAGAGACTTTCGGTTATTTAACATCTGGGTGCATAAAATGTTACAATCTTTTCTGTGCTGTCAAAGTTTGACACCCGCGCGCGTGCGCGTAAAAGCCAACATCCAGAGATTATGCATGAATTATTATGAGTCATAAGACCTCAGTATTAATATCTTTGTACTGGCATACACAATACTACGCATGCACGTTGCACAACATGCAGCGAAATTCCTTGAAACTGTAAAATGCGCATTTATGGCTTGTTTTATATCACCACAATCATCCCCATGCATGAAACTGATAATGAAACTGATCTGAGCTTGTATTTCAGTGTTCTAACGACTTTCTAACTAATTCATTTAATATGGAAGAGGGAATTTTTGAAGCAGTACAGCATATATTTAATACCACTAATGTTTTGTCATATTGCAGAATACAAAAGGCTAAATGTCATGTCCTTATCCCTTAGGATGCAGTCTGTAGGTCTGGCTCTGGAAGAGTTGCTGGTAACTGCTCAGAAACAAGGCTGTCTCACTGTTGGCATTTATGAATCAGCCAAGCTTCTTAATGTGTGAGTTGAAAGTATTAATTTTGGTTTGTGCTTCTCTTCTCATTGCCCAAACTGATCATCCCAGACATGTGAATGCAGGTTTTTCCTCATTTTATTTCTTTTCTCTTCCCCCTCAGAGATCCAGACAGCGTGGTGCTATGCGTGCTGGCAGCCGACGATGAAAACGATGTGGCGCTGCAGATCCACTTCACGTTGCTACAGTCCTTCTGCTGCGACAGCGGCATCACCATCTTGCGAGTCTCTGGGTTTCAGCGACTCCAGCGGCTGCTGGGAGCTGTGGATGCCAACAGGAACCAGGAAGAGCACAGAGACCTTCACTGCATGCTGGTTACGGTGTGTTGACTCAGCATAGTGGCTACCTCTTATGTAACTGAAAGGCAGATGGTGATCTTTTTCATGCACAATTTTCAGCTAGGATATTGCACCTTTTCTTTGTCACCGCCTTGTGATTTTTACTCTTACTTTGCAGGTTCAATTCAAATTGAACGCTGAACATGATTCTTTTTTTCTCCCACACAGAATCCTCAGGCAGAGCACTGCAGACTGCAGGAAGTGGGGACCTACTGCCAGGAGAGTCGGCGCCTTGACCAGTGGGTGCCTGAACTAGTCCTGCAGGAACGCTGAAGGGTCTGCATACAGGAACTTTTGTGGCCAGATACTGATACACTGAAGGATCTTTATGCTCAAGCAGGGATGACCTGGAGTGTAGCCGCTCCAGTCCACTATCCTTAATGACCAGCAAAACCATGAACTCCCACTCAAAGACTAGTGAAACAGCTGGACTGGACACTGGTTTCTAGAATCTGTACTTGTGCAAAAGATACAGAGAGAAAAGTCACAATGTTTTTACAATGCCATCAAAACACAATCTGTTTTGTGTTGCTCTCTGGGTGCTCACAATGTCTATGGGGTGTGACATAGTAAACATTAAGAGGAGTAGTAGTTTTGAAAGGAACACATCCACACCCATCTTATACCTGGAAGTCTTGTTTGTTTGACTGGACAGGAATGTTGCAGTGCTGAAACTGTACCAGACATTCCTGGGAGAGTCCCAGAAAAGGAGAGTAGAGGTGTGTGTTTGTATGTGTGGTATGTCTATGTGTGGTATGCATTTACAATACTTGTATTTTTCTGTAGAAAAGACTGGGTGTGCAGTGTGTGCATTCTTAAATTGAGCAGCTGAAAGCTGCTGGGGAATTGTCACCATGGAAACTGAAATGGAAATAATGTTAAAGACACACAGGACCTATTGACACCGGAAGAAACAAAAGAAAAAACAATGTAAAGAGACTCAGAGGATTATATATTTTAGTCAGGATCTGAAATTCCCAATGATGCAGAACGCCTGTGCTGTCTGATCTGGACAGGTCAGCTTTAAATGTATTGTAAAAATATCAACTTCTTTGTGCCTTCAAGAGTGCTGCCTTTCTGATAAATAACTAATGTAAAGTGGCTACACTGTTAATTTATTGATTGTATTGTTTTTTTTGTAGTTATTTGTAATCTATTTTGTGCTCTGTTATCTAAGTAAATAAATTATTTTATTCATAAATTCTTCTTGTTCCTGGGGCTTCTGCTCAGATTTCAAAACAAAAGCCATGTGTGCGTCATGGAACCTGCTGAGTCACGCAACTACAGTTTACATTCGGGCTGAAGTCATGGAAAATGCATGCACACTTAGGGCAAAGTCTTTGTCATTGCCAGCCCCTTCTATTGTCGTGAGCATAAGTCAGTGAGAATGAAACTGGGGTGGGGACAGAAACTCACAAAAACAAGCATAACAAGCTCATGCAGACCTACTGTCCCTACAAGTCAAGAAGTAATGAAGCATTACAGGAAAGACGCATTACCTGCGTGTCAAGTGTTTTTATTTATTCCCAAGCCAGATTCCATACATGCATAACAAGAATCTTTTAAAAATGTATGTTTTGCATTATATAATGCAGCTAAAGCCCTGCAACAATGTTGCATGCAAATAACATAGTGTGTATTAATGTGTGTGTGTGCGTGTGTGTGGGTGAAGCCTCTGATCCCTCTATTATCTCTGCTTAATCTCAGGATCTTCCCTCTGCTTTGCAATCTATTCCACCCTCTGCTCTCACATGGCTGTTCACAGCCCCGTCTGCTGCTAGAGGAGAGAGGAACATATTGAGGCACATGGACCTCACACTTGTTTACAATCACACAGGGTAGTGACTGGTGAGGGGAGTGTCTTCTCAAAGGCCGTGGCTCATCCAGCCTAAATCTGATTGGCTGTGACTTGCAGAAGGGTCATGGGAAGTATAGTTTGAAACTTGGAGACAAGCTTGTGACGGTTGAAAGCACACTCAAAAGGGCACAGTGAAGGCCTAAGACGGCTACAACAATGGAATTCCTGTGAAATGACCAAACTGGGAGACTTTTACCTAGCTTTGCTCTTTGTTTACTCTGTTTGATGCATTCTCTTACATGCATCATGCTCTGCACATCGTATACCAAGTAGGCCAGAGAGCATGTTTCTGCAAGTGCATTGTACAGTTGCAGTTGCATTTTTAAACCAATAAACTGCAGATAATAATCAAAAACACTAATATTCTGCAGCTATACCAGCAGCTCTGCGAGGCTCATACTGGTATTGTATCTGATGTTTGTGTTCTGCCCAGTAAACTTGAAATACACTGATGTTAACATCAAAACAGAATAAAATAACAATACAGGAAAAGTCTGTTATTATATCATCTTTTTATTAATGTTATCTACTTCTCAATATCATCTTTTTTAAACAGCAATATCCACAAAATATTAACAGTGTGCAAGAAAACATGAGTTATGGCACATCAGAGAACAGTTACAAAAAATAGATATATTTTCTTCATAGTCAATCAAGGCAAAAAGATACATATACTGTATGCATACACAGGAGATCAGAGCACAAAAGATGATTCTCAGGAAGGGCTCGGAGCCAAATCAGAGAAGCTTGATATGAAAGTCCAACAGGGAGGAGCCTCGGCTCTCCTCACCAGGCCTGAAATGAATTTCGAGAGGCTTGCATTTTTGCACACAACACCAGTAAATTTCCACTTTCAGCCGTGTGTTCCACTTTTAAGACTGTTTAAGACTGCCCCCCACCTCCAAGTCCAGCATTTACATGATATACACCACTATAAGGCAAACTAACAACCAATCAATCAGACAAACCAGCAATCCAAGCTGTGTGTCTCTGATTGAAGCCCAACCATGGATGGAATGATAGTAATAAAAATTAAAAAAAAAAAATAGCATATGTCGGCAATACCAGGACATCTGTGTGTGTGGTAGTGTGTGTGTGCATTTGTCTGATGATAAGTTATGCATGTATATTTCCTTGTGTTAAACTTCTGCAGCAAGAATTCTCTTTCACTTTAGCTTGCAAAGAAATGAAAGGAAAGTGTTTATCACATTCCTGTAAACTGACAGGGAATCAGTTCTTTCATCTTAGAATAGTTCAGGTCCTTGAAAAGCAAACCCAGGCCAAATAAGTACGTATAGTTAAGTCAATACTGTTGCTATGCCATCACATATCTTTAGGTAGATCCTTTAAAAAAAAAAAGAGCACCGTTCATTTATATCAGCCTAAATAATCTCTTCAATCATCCCTTTCCTCATATCTGCTTGTAGGGCTACCTGCTTTAGCTTAGCATAAAGATAAACAGCTTGAAACAGCCAGGCTAGCAGCAACAAAACCTGTCTACCAGCACCTCTATGGCTCACTGCGATAATGGCAAAACATCAAAGTGATATAACACCTTGACTGAGAACTTTAAAAGAGCTGAGAAGTGGCCTTTTTTTGCAGGTGAACAGAGGAGTTTCTCCCTGTTTCCTGTCTTTAAGGTAAGCTAACCAGCTGCAGGAGAAAGCAAATATACACATTTCCTCAAATGTCAACATGTTCCTTTACGTATCCAAGGCTTACGTTAGTGGTAATGAAATTTTTTGTTTTGCCACATTTCACCTGGTCAATTTTAGCCTGTGACACAATCCCCCTTTTCACTCTTCAAAATATGCAGACTGATTAAGTGAGAAAAGGAGGAAGTGCAAGCCATATATGTTGTTCTGACTTGTGGTATCACATGACCTCTCCTCTGGTCAGACTAACCCTGACCTAGAACTGCAGGACTGCAGTACTATAACATTACAGTCTAACACTGCAGCACTGGAGGCACTGCTCGTTCTTACGCACTGTGTCACTCGCACAAACACACACAGACCATGCACACGAGCACACACTTGCACGCTCCTCTATTTTCTCCTCTCCACCTACTGCTCTGCCAAATCATCCCTTTTCAGCTACCAAACACAAGCACCCACACACACGCACGCACACTTGCACACCCTCTCTATGGCCTTTCTCCAGCTCTTGCTCTCTATACTTCTATCTTTGTCTGTATCATAAGCCATTGGCTACAGTGCAAAAACACAGATGCTAAGCAGCGATTTAAACTGGTAATTAATCACAAAGCTGAATTTTTAAAGGAATCATTTGACATTTTGGGAAATATGCTTATTCTCTTTTGTTCCCTTTCACACAGTTTAAAATTGCTAAAGGTAACAATTACAATTATTCTAATGCCGATTTCTCTAAACCCCACACATTCCCAGGTACGCATGAGCACGTGTGGATGCAAACAACTCTTTCCACCCACCTCCAAAGTCTGTATAGCAGCTGGGTCACACTGACCTTAAGTGACATGAAAGCAGAAAACTAGTAGGATGAACCCTTGTGACTCTCTGTCAGCAGATATAAGCCATGTCCAAATGAGCCCACCCTCGGCTAAATGCTAAAGTGTAAATATGATGGAAGGAAGATCCCCTCTCTCACCAATTCTCCTTACAGCTATTAACCTTTTACCTCTGATAAACATCATTCAAGCTTGAAAAGCACCCAAAGCACAGGATGTAGGTGTGTGTTGCATGTTGGTCTAGATGCCTGTTGCCCCCAAAAAAACAAAAACTAAAAAAAAAAAACAAGGACAGCTTTGGTGTTAAAGGTCAGATCAGGAGGTTGGTTTTGCACCACCGTAATGAGGTCCGATGTTGATTCATCTTCTTACGGGGCATGACTCTAAACCAAACACAGCTTTTGTTTCCGGTACATTGCTTCATCCTCATCGGTTTTATATGTGGCTGAAACCAACCTCAGTTATCGCAGGCCTCTAAAACCTGATTGACGTAAAAAAGGAAAAAGCAAAGACAGACGTGATCCTGATTGACAGAATAAGTAGTACTAAAAAAATCCAACATCCACAGAGGGGAAATCTGTGTTCTGAGTTTGTATCTTACAAACACTGTACAGGGTAATACTCAACTGACCAGTTTCCATGGACTCCATAGAAAGAAGAGAACTTAAAAAAAAGAAAGAAAAAAAGAAAGAAAGCCAAAACAGCTACTCTTCAACTTATCACTTCTGCACATGTCTGAAAGAAAGTTTATACACTTAGTTTTTTTCTCTTAACTTGATTTTTTTCTTCTTCATGTTTCAGTTTTTACAATCAAGTTTGGTTTGTCAGACAGGAGGAGTGCTGTGGAGGAGACGAGGAAGGAGGAACACAGAAAGGAGACTGCCAGCTCCTACTGATCCAGCCTGTGACCAAGCTGGGGTAACGTCAGAGTGAGCTCTTATGCTGGGGAAACTGGAACCTTTAGACTGGTGAAGGCAGGTAATCTGAATAATAGCCATAATTGCAAAGCATTAAAACAAGATGTAAACCACTTGAACAGAGAGGTGACTCCTTATTTTCAGACTACCCACTCCTCTCATTTTCGTTCTATTCACCCTACAAGAACTAGTAATCGAAATACTCATATATGGGCTGAGAGGGTGGGAAGAGGGCACCTTCATTTTTACTTTCTATGTCTGGGTCATCTCCTCCAGCCTCGCAGTCCCTTACAGACTGATTCTCTGATGTGATCATTCTGTGGCCTCGCCCTCTCTTGGGGTAAAGCACAGGGAGGCTTGATGTACAGTAGATCTGGTTAGGTATTACCCCTGGCTTACAACCAGATATCCTGTTATTTCATTAATGCAAGCAGGAAAACAAACCTGATCCGCCAGGGGCAACACCTACGTGAAAAGAAAACGATCTAAAAAAATGTAAAGTATTGTCCTATCTGTTAAGTAATGCTTCAACAAAATATCTAAAACGTACATTGAGTTCACAAACAAGTATTTCTTAAGAAAAAATGCAGTAAACGTCTGCGGTTAATAGCTTGAGTTCTGTGTAGAGCCGTTCACTGCTTGCTCTCATAGGTGCAGATCTGGGATCAGCTTAGACATCAGCCAGTGGCGGCTATCATGAGCCGCAGTGGAATCAGTGACAGCAGATCAGCATCTAGAAAGGAATTTTTGTACAGGTTGGCACAGCTGGAGGCTTGGCCAAAGGCTGCAGGCAGCCATTGTGAGGCCACAGGCAGAGAAGGTCTGTTGATACAGGTTTGGGTGGGAACATGCTATGGCCTGATAAAGGCAAAGGCTTTAGCCAGTTGCTCCAAAATGACCCAAGAATGAAGCTTTCATACGTTTTTAAAAAAATCTCCCACAGAAAAAGAAGCATTTATTGAACTTTTAATGGGACACGAGGTCCAGTTTGGCACGATTGGCCTAGCGCCTACCACTCATTCTGTTTTTTCGCACATGCATCCTCCCACTGCCTGCCTATGGCACAGCTACCCATCTTTGAACCAACACCTCATTTCACGATAACAAAAAAAAAGAAAATGCTGATTTCCTATCGATCATTAATGTCCAAATCCCTTTTCAATTTTAGCTGAAACTTGTAGTTAATTCACCAGCATATGTGAATAATACCAAAGCACCTTGGATCATACTCAGTGATATACTGATCTCAGCCACTGTGAGCGCAGCATACCCTCCCCCTAGCTGTTGCTCCGGTGTATGGCGCTTTTCCAGCGTGGCGATTCTGGGAGCGTGTGTGTTTCTCTGTGTGTGTGGATGCTCGACAGCCCTGTAAGATCAGACATGGCTGCTCCAAGGTGTGTCTCGGTAAATGAGGGGATCTAGTTAAATGGCAAAAGTATACGTTTATGTGTTAGCGTGTATATGTATGTGCAAGAGTGTGTGAGAATGTGTGTTTGTGTGTGTGTGCATGAGAGGGGTAGGAGAAGCAGGAAGCAGCTATAGGATGATGCAAGGTTTCTTGTCCTTGAAAGGGTTTTCAGAGGTGGGAACACCAACCAGCAGAGGGTCGCTACGAGCGTGCTGCTCACAGTAACTCATCAGGTCTGCTGCTGCTTTAGACACCTGAGCGGACAGAGGGGGGAGGGAGAGAAAAGGAGGAAGGGGATGGCAAAAAGGGGATAGATAAGAAGGTGTGAAATTTAAAATGAGGGCATTGGAGGTAGAAGAAATAATAAAGTTGTAAGGGTAAATGAAGGGAGAAGCAGCAAAGGGGGAACAAGAATGAGTAGAGAGGGAGAGCAGTTAAATGTGTATGAATAATTACGCACACACATTTGCTAACACAGCAGAAAACGGTTGTTTTACCTTAATGCGCTCAATCCCTGCCTCAATCCTCAGCTGTTCCACCAGTTTCCTGGCCTGGGCGATATTATTAGTGGTAGACATACTGATCCATGAGAATACACCAACACAGGAGAAAACTGAAGGAGTGAAAAAACAGAATGAGTTGTGTTTGGTTTACTTCACTAGATTTGTCAGAGACCAAGAAACATTATTTTCATGTATACTTAATAGAGATGTGAATTTAAGTACTAGATAATTCCCTGATTATTCCCTGAAACTGTCCTTTATAGCACTGCTAAATGAATCGCACAAAAGCAAACAAAAAAAGAAAGCCTGCAGAGGATCAAATATAAACAAAGCACAAATAAGAGTGTAATAATATTTTTTGATTTTTTGCCATTAGATCAGAAATGAAATGATGGCTTAAATTCCCTTTTTAGTGTTATGGGTCATAAATTTAAATCAATTAAGAGGATTGTGTGGAACGTCAGCTGCGGCGCTATAGCACCACCACGAGGTGACTACATAGTAGTGCAGCAGAAATTTAGAGTGAAACATAGCAGCATTTTAATTCATAATATGACGATTGAAGGCAACAGTGTAATGACAATGTAACCAAAAATGAATTTGATATTTAACAAAAAAGGAATTAAATAAAAGCCCTTATATTAAAGATGCTAATATGCATCAGCATCTGATATTTGTCTTCTGAATGTAATTCACACACTGCACAAACAACATGTTTAAATAGGAATACATTATTAGGTTGTTGTAATAAACCTCAGTGAGATCTTTGGGATTGAGAATGTTGTGATCCAGACATTCGAATAAATTCATTCCACATTCCACTGCCTCAGGGACTCCTGAGTCCACTGGGTAATTCACAAGAAAATTCGAGTTTAACATACTTTGCAGATTAAGCAGCCTGGGAATGTGGAACATGATACAATGACCACAGCAAACAGAGTATTACCTGACTGATGGTGTGCAGACAGGACTCCCTCTGAACACTAATATGAATGGATGGAGGCGGTCTGAGCAGTGCAGGAACGGCAGTCACAGTGACAGAGCTGGACGGCGGCTGAGCTTACATTGGCTTGTCTCTGTGTAAAAGAAGAATGGGCAAACAAGTGAGCTGCCTGCTGATAAAGCTACGTTATAAACAGGCAGTTCAGTAGTCATACACATTTCAAAATATTTGCTTCTGTTTGCTTTTACAAATAAGTTTCAATTTTACTTCCACATCTCCACATACAGAGAGGTTTTACTGTTTTAGCAATGAGTTAGCAAAGTAATAAAAACTAAAAGAAGAGATAACGACTGCAAATATGAAAACTGCAATAAAAAAAATATTACTATGACACAGCTGCTACTTCAAACACAAGAAAATGTCATACTCATCATATCCATTAACTATCATATCCATCATCACAACCTCATTTTCTTTCACAAAGCACCTGTATGACCACTTTTCTGAATGGGTGGTGGGACATTCTGTCATATGGGGGGGGGGGGGTCCCAAACTCATTTTAAATCACTACAAACCTTCAGATTAACACAGCAGGAAACTTGCTTCTGTAGATGTGAACAACACATACCTCAAATACATCACAATGAGCATGTTACCACCGGGTCTCTCAGTCTGTGTCTCTGTCTGTCTCTCTCTCTAAGGAGGAGAGTCCTGCTTTAATTACTCCTGCTGTGGAGTCTCTCAGAGATTCATGTCTGTAATTAAAGCTGTGTGTGTGTGTGTGTGTAAGAGAGGGAGAGAGAGGGAGAGAGAGAGAGAGAGAGAGTGAATGAAGCTAGAGATTACCACTGTAACACCTGAACAAATTCTCATTCTGTCTTTGCCTGCACGTTGGTATTAACAGACTTATGAGGATATTTGCCGACTTTCCTCTATCCAAATTCTAATTTTTAATCCTAATCTTGAATCTTGAACCCAAATCCTAATTCAGGAACAAAATATCTTCATTTCTTTTTCCTTTTCCGTCTTTTTTCTTTTCACATTTAGACACTCACGGGACTTAAGAGTTGCACTGATTTTGATTCATTCCTAGATTAGGAGTACACATAGAAACTGAAGATAGCAAAAAGAAAAGCATCATGTTTGGCAAATTGTGGCACATGAATCTTCCTAAATGAACTGCTTGTAAGAGACAGAAATACTGACCCTAGCCTTACTTGGCACTAGATTTCTTTTTTTCCCCTTTAACCACAAGTGCCCAATACTGACCCCAGAACTAAAATATAATGTACACACATGGGCCTCTGTCCAACAATGGGGGGTGAGTCCCTTGGTTATGGCTGTGTAAACGGATAACCCTCAGATGTGTCTATAACAAGTGCAAATAAACAGAGACAAACACCTGTTCCCTCACAACACATTCTACGCTTCTCATTATCTGTCAGGATTTAATGAATGCTCCTAAATCACAGCGTGCAGCATCACTGGAAGCCAAGCGCAGAGTATATGCATATGAATATAATAAAAACTCAACTCTATAAGACTTGTTGCAGGGATTGTTCACACGCTGATGCATGCCTTTGACACAAACATGCTAACATTAAAGGAGAAGGCAGCACTTGCATCCTCTTCAGTTATGAGCTGCTATACCTTTGAAACACAAATGTGTGCTTTTTTTCTGTTCTATCCAGTGGGTAAACCACGGTGGTTTCAACTGGCAGAGCCGCTGCATACAAAAAAAGTACCAGCTATACTTAAATGACTCATTTATCACTTCATAGACACTACTAACCTAGTTCTTTAATTTCCTCAGCCTGTTGATTTTTCAAACTTTTTGCTATGGCGCATACCGTGCCGATAGAAGAGAAGCCTTTAAAAACAGCAGACGAAATTCTCCCCCAACACAGCCACATCTCTCCCTTCTTGCCCCAAACTGAACGCCTTTCTTCTTAGCAGAAGCAAAACATATACACTAAGCTGATCATTTGATTCGGCCTGGACAACATAAACACCACCAGAGCTGGACAGGCCTCAACCAGCGAGCACACAGAGGTTCTCAAGACGCGCAAAACTGCATCAATCCTTATTGATCCAAGCAGCTCCTGAGCGTTGATCGGGCCTACAGTACGAAGCCATGTCCTCTGCTATAGGGCCTGCTCGCTGCTCTACCGTGTGAAAGCACAATGCGGGCATTTTGATGGATAGAACAGCATGTCCTCTCTCCCGTGGCTATCCACGTACCACACACACATAAACGCATAGACTCAACAGAGCCAACATACAGACGAATACGCACGGGAGCGCAAACACAGTGCACATATCAAAGCCAGATATATTTATCCTAGTGAATACCAGACTACACAGCTCCGGGTCTGCAAATAGGCCCTGATTGTTAGCCGTGGGAGCAGGGTGGTGACATGTTTTGAGGGAGGCAAGCTCCGGCAAATATAAACCCATCCAGCGACAACGAGCACAAGACCGGAGCGCATGCCGTTATATTCCGCTATTATGCAAATTGATACGGCCTACTTCGGCATATAAGATCATGTTACTGTGGCTCGTGCGTCCTCAGAGTCCAGCCGAGCTGAAGGAAATCTTCCACTGACCCTGTCCCCGGTCCTCCCCACCCTCTCTGCCGGCAAAGGGCTGGGGAAATCCGGATTCGTGACACTGACGAGCCCCCTTTTCGCTGCAGCCGCCCTCAGTTGCGAGAATGCGGGGCTGCAGCAGCACACAGAGGCGCTACAAATATTATGCACGGGGAGAAAAATAGCCAAATATCTCCAAACTCACCTCCGAATGTGCTGTATTGGTGATTTAAAGGGCCAGATCCGCTGGTTTCTCACCCTCTCTGCGCGTTCACTCCCCGTTTTCACCGAGCCAAACGCCTCCCCCTCCGTTACCAGTGCCTGTCCACTCCTCTACCCCCCTCCTGCTCTCTTCCTCCCTCTCTCCTTCTCCCTCCCTCGATCCGATGGGGTGACAGCAGATTTTGAAAGGGGCTCCCAAGGAAGCATTTTTAATGATCTATAGCTATATATACCCTGGGAAAGTATCCTCCAAACAACAGAATTTTAAATGGCAGACTAGATTTGCCAGATATACGTTCACAAATAAATAAATAATGCAAGTCATGTATAAAATGACGGGGGCTCCTAGTGGCTCGTGTATTGTAAAGTGTAGATTGGGCACTTGCACGAACTGAAGCCCCATTGAAATTTTGTTAAAATGCATTTCTTTACGTCCTCTCAATGTTATAATAATAATAATAATAATAATAATAATAATAATAATATTTACAATGATGTTTCTAGGAACTTTGGGCCAATCTAATCTGACCTTTTATTTGCTGTAAATTTTCTGCCGTTTGCAGATTGCAGATAAATAAAGAAATGCCATAAAATCCGAATTACTATTTTCACTTCATAAATAAAATGAATAATAATTTAATACTTTTTATACTTTAATTTTGTTTGCAGAAATGGTAATGACTGTGTTTCTCTTTGTGGTAGAAAATACTTTAAGTCATGTCAAATGCGTTAAATAAAGACTGCAGTGCACGACCCACACAACTTCTATAATAAATACACGTTTGGACAACAGATAGTGTCCTCTTAAAGACCACTGGCTTGTTCATTTCCCACCAGTATTCCCCACGGACACGAGATAACAGATAGTGGCATGCACATCTGGATTTGTGTACCTACATTACAGTAAAAACGACTGGTTTCGACGTGACTCCAGTGCGTTGTGTTACCACGTGATGGCGCCATTGACCCATCTGCTGTTCTGACTTTCTCAAGAGAGGTGTGGGCCTCTCCTTCTATTCCTGGCAGGCCCCACAAACACGCAAACTCCGTTTCCACCAAGCTGTAGTCCACTCCTCCACACAGAGCTAAAAAGCGCTGCATCTGCTCCGTGATTGTTGGCTGAACATGAGCCGGTTTCACTGCGCTAAGAGGGAAAAGGTCTGATGTGTGCAGGATCTCATTTTTAAACAAAAATTCTCTTTTTTTAGTCCATTTAAACCCTGGTGGTGCTGATGGAGATGGAAATTCTGATCTATATTCTGGTTTTGATGCGTATATACGTCTCAGTGGTTGTATAGCAACCGTTTCCTTCCTGCTTATTATAAACACAGGAGAGCTATTTATATCTCACACAGAGTACCGCATTGGCCTCGTTTCCAGCGACCAGTGAATGCTGATGCCTATACATTTCCCTTTCATTTCCTCACCTTTCTCATCTACCCCTTTTCTCCCTTTGCTGGCTCTCTCTTCCCTCTTCATTTTTCTCTCTTCCATTTCAGACCCCGTGCTTCCCTCCCTCCCTCTCCATCCTGTGTGTGAGGAAGCAGCATAGGTTACACTGGATTAGAGCAATACTTTTCATTTTCTAAGAAATCCGCGGTGGAAGCCCATGAGTCACCACTTAAAGATGTTCACAAGCTGACAGGTGGCATCCACCCACCCACACCTTTATGGTCGTATGCCACGCGTACTCCTGCAGCCTAATCTTAGACCCAAACGGAAACACAGACTTTCCCAGGGTGTCTCATGTGTTTCATTTTTATGTGTGTATGTGGACACGATGATTGTCTAATTAAGACCCAGCAGAGGGGCTGCCACACTGGCCTTCATGGGGAATGACATGTTTTTTAATCCACCCCAGGAGCAGGATGGGAGACCCGCCTGTCGCCGCATCTCCGCCACCACGGTCACACCACACTGATGCGACAACCGCCGTCAACGTCACACTGTCTCCATAGCAACCGTGCCGGGCACAGCATCTCCGAGCAGATGTTGGAGGGTTAAGAGAGAAGAGAGAATGAAAGAAAGAGTAGGGGGGAAGCCAGTATCTCTGTGTGATGAATTAATAAACTGTAAAGAGTCTGCATGTCATGGCAGCACGACATGGGTGAAAGAAGTCAACAATCCCGAGTTGGGAAAATAATTTAAATTATTATGGTAAAATTTTAAAATTAAAAAATGAGAAAAAAGAACTATCAAAGAGAATCACTGAGAGTCGCTGAAAAGAAATAAACCCCTTCCAAAGTCATGCCAGCAGCAGAGCTTTTACATGAATGTTAGTCAACAAGCAGAGAAGATTGCTGCACTGTAACCTGTGATTTAAACAGCATCTACAATGTAACACAAACAGCAATATATTGTAGTAGGTTTTAACAGTAATGTACTTTAAATGGCAAAGGATTGTGGGAAAATATTGGCCCACTGCTGTAAATGTAACTGAATACTAAGTGTTTTAGTACTCTTAAATGAAAAATGAGGCATATGGAAGCCGTTTTTCTATTTGTATGTTAGATAAGATGGAAATATTGCACACTGCTATGTTCTCCCTTTTAAATATCGTACATTTTACAGGGTAAACCCCCCTAAACCATATTCACATATGCTTCCTCAAGGAATATGCTGTATCGTATAATGCTTACACAGAGGGTTTCTACAGCATGCTTTTAATTCTTTCAGTTATTTCCTCTCTTATTTTGAAGGCTGCTTTATTCTTTCTCTGCCAAGTTTTTACTTCCTGTCTTTGCTCTTTCCCCTCCCTTTCGTATGTCCACCTGTTCCTTGTTACCCTGTTGCTCCTTATGTGTATTTATCCTGCGTGATTTCCCTAAAGCTTTGGACTGAAGTGGCTGACCATAATATCACTGATTTTCTAAGATCCACATCACTGCATGGATACAAACGGCAAGCAAAAGGTGAGAATGTTCAAAAAAATGACAGGAAACACTCCTCAGTTCATATTTTTATTAAGAAAATCATTTTGCAGATTTGATTATTATTATCACCTCTCTCGCTCTCTCTCTCACACTCTCTCTATGTATATATATATATATATATATATATATTTATATATGTTAGTTTCAGTTATTCAGAGGATGCATCAGCACAGTATATTTTAATAGGAAGACTATTGCTAGAATAAATATCTATACATTATAATTAGTCAAATGAAAAAAATCCCAACGAAAAAAAGAAGAACCAAAGAAAAATCATTTACAAAAACAATGAGAGCTTAAAAGAAATAACCCATTTGCAAAACCAAAGCCATAAATGTTGCAGAGGAATTTATTTAAAAAATACAAAGATGATTCACAGTTTGTGTCCTTGTTCTCATGCTGGCTGGAACACCAATAGGGACCATGCAGGAATGGAAGGGCCAGAGCGACTCCATAGTACCAAACTACGTTACCCACAAATTCCTCGCCATATACTGCTCATTAGGATCTGAGGCGATCAGATGAAATGTAAAGGGGTGAGCCTGAGTGATTGGCAGGAAGAGTGGGAGTTCTTTTGTATTTTGATCCTCCGGTACCGATTTCCTTTAGCTCCTGTGACATGAAGCCCTGCTGGACAGGAGCACAACCTGCCCCTTGCTGGTAACAAAAAGCCTGGTGTGTCAGAAAACCCCAGCTTTTCTTGAGTATAAAGGTTTAACTTAGTGCTCGTTCTTTAAGCTTCACATGGTCTGAGGTTTCCCTTGCAGCCACAGAAGAACAAATCCGAACCCCACTCCCTTTATTGTATGAGACTCCTCAGCAAGATGAACAGAAAGTACCCTGTGACCTCACTGGTGGCAAGTAAACTTTACCTGGTCCTACACAAAAATCTGTGCCACCAATGTAGTTATCTATGGATGCCCAAACTATAGCTGTTACTAGGCAACAAGTATATTTGATGTTATAAAATAAGTAATCATACCAACAATATTAAGACTAAATGTGTAATTTAACCATGAAAATATCATCGCACAAGCAACATTTTAATGAAAATACCTGCAGCATTTTTTAATTAAAGAAGAGTGTGGAATTGCAAAAATTATTCTAAATTTAAAATATCCACCAAGTTCCACAATTTCATGGTTCAATTACATCTTTCTGCATCCAGTTGTATGATTATTCATTTTATAACTTATCATTTAGTCACCTTTAACATAGCTGGTCTCCATAGAGTTCCTCCTTTAAAGTCAGTGCTTCTCTTGCTACAGCATACAAAGAAAAAAGCCCAACGTAAAGCTTTCACATGAAGAAAACTTTAACTGTCCTACTTCTGATTGGAGGTTTTGACTATACAAAGAATGCGCAGGAGACTGCGCGCTCCCACCACGGCATCCTTTATCTGCACGCTCTCCCTTCGCTTCTCTGAAACCTTTGAACAATATTTACAGCTATCTACAATCAGATGCGAGGAGGGTTGGTTTTCAGTAAGTGCAAACGGCAAGCAAAAACACACAGAATGAATATGAAAATGGCTCACAATTTATGCGGATTTATGCAGAAGTAACGCTAACAGAGGTACAACAGTGGAAAACAGCCAGAGAGCGAATGATGTTTCACTGACAAGGCCTGTGTGAATGTAATATGTGTGTATGTGTGTGTGTGCAACCGAGGGCATGCAGTCATTCTATTTCAGCTCCATGCCTGATTTATATACTAGTGTGTGTGCGTATAGGGGGTGTGTGTTGTGCAGGATGACTCATGCAGAATGTGTAGGCACTCTCCACGGGAAAGCTGCAAACATCTGACAGACACTTCATGAGATTGTACAACAGCAACAACAACACCAGCACGCGCACATACACACCCGTGCAGGCCAGAGTGAATTAACGTGAAAACAATATATATAAATAAGGTGGATGAATGTGCATGTACATGAATGCACTCCCGGTTAAACATACAGAACAGGGAATATGGTTCATGGATAAATGAGATGAGACGCGCCATGGAGGGACAGGGGCAGAAGTGTCTG